TCTGGTTTTAACGTTCACTTGTCTGAATAATAATACTACTTTCCTTTTATTCACTAATCTACGTTGTTCCATAAGTTGGTGGTGTGATGTTCATTCGTTCGTCATCATTAACTAGACGAAACTCTAGATTGATCATTTAAATTGGGTGAATAAATTCTACCCTTTAAAATTGGAAACCAAAAATACTATTAGAACTATAAGATATGTGAGCACCAAATGTTATATTTTTTTTAAAGGAGAGTTTTATCATTCATTGCACTTCAACCCATCTCGAGGAATTAGTCTCTACAATTATTCGTAAAGGATACTCGGTTTCCACTGAAAAAGACACTATTAAAAGTTATTTTTCTTATTGAAAAAAATGTATTTTAATTAGATCAGTCTAGAGTGAAAAAGATCGGTTTAATACCACATATTTTCCCTCACTAGTGTGAGTGATACATAGTGTCTTACTGCGAATAAGCCCTTCTACTAATGCTTACTACTCTTCAACTCCTTTGAATTATTTCTCTGTTGGTAAAAACCTCTCATCTAAGCCTTTTTGATAAAGCAGCTTTTGAAGTTTTTCTTTCTTGTTTTTTTATATGAACCTACTCCAATATGAGTTTTTCACTACTATCAGAAAATCGATTTTTCATCCTCCTGTTCCTCAAAATCACTTCTGATTCCTTCATCAACTTGATGTATTTCTTCCTCACGCTCAACAAAGGATGCTTCTCGATAGCCGATTCATTGCAGTAAGCTTCCTTAAGAATGACAGTGCATGTTTTATTCCTGAAAGACATGTAAAACATATGAGGATGCCGCTCGAATGCTCTGTGCACTTTCTGTGGAAAGCCGAAATACTTCTTGAGGCAAAGGAGCTTTCTTCGTTCGGCTGAATGATCGATAAATAAGGAAAGCAATTCGTGAAGAACTCCAATAAGTCTTTTCTCTGCTATATCACAGTTAGGATCCAAATTCGAGAAATCTTCATATGGTGAAATATATGGTAGCTTCTGAAATTCATGTAGCCAGTTTTCAATCTTGCTTTTCACTCTTAAAGCCTTTGATGGAAAAAAAGGAAATTCAATCGAACCATCGAAGTTCAAACCTCTTTTCGTCGCATTCTTCTCCATTACAGAATAAACTTTCTCTCTGCTTTCAAGAGCCAGTCCTTTCAGTCCATGTTCCATTTCTACAAACCTGAAAGACTCGTCAAGATTTAGTTCCGGGTGCTGCAAAAAATCATCCGGCAACCCCAAATACCACTGCATCCCTTGAATTATCTTTAAAGGTAGAACATTCTCTTTCGTCATCAATATCATCTTCCTCAATCTAGATCGTAACTCCTCTCGGCTTTCTTCATATACTCTTTTCTCATCCCTGTCAATCTCAGCAGCTTCAGATGTCAACCGAAACCAAGGATGGTTATACTCGGGACCTGTAAACTCTTCGAAAATGGATGGATATTGCCTCATAAATCTTGCGACCTTCATTGGCACATCTAACTGTAATCCCCTCTTAGATACTGCAGAGATAGGGATGCACTCGTTAGGGTCCTGGGTAATGCAGTTTTTTAAGGCAATTATGGGCTTCAGCTGAATCGAGTGGTGAATGTGCTCAATCGAGTCGTAGTATGAATCCTTTTTCCATTTCATGTACACATTCACATAACTATGCCTCTGAATGTGCGAGAAAGGAAAACCGGGGATCTTGTAGCTATAGTGCAAGATTGATTCTTCAAAAGGCTTGAGCAACTTTCTAATTGTTTTGCCTGCAGATTTCTCTAAATTGAATAACATAGAGTAAAAAAAACTTTGAGACAGCAGTTTGCAGTAGAACGAAAGAGGACGGTTGAACGATATTTGGATTTTCGATAAATAATTACTTTTGAAAGAGCTCAGTTTGACCTGTAAAAGATTAACGGATGATTCAGCCAAACATATTTGAAAAGAAAAAGTCTTTATTTGAAACAAACAAAAAATATCCAATAACAAATTCAAAGTCTACACAGACCATCCCAAATCTTCTCAAAATAAAAATTGCAGTGTATTTTCTAACAATGATTCACATAAAAAAGGAAAATAACAATCGAATCAAACAAAAAAAAAAAAAAGCTATTCCAAAATCAACAAAAAAGCGAGAACTTCGAATTACTCCAAAACTAAAACAGCAGCCATAGCATATGAGATCAAGTTGGTACTACCAACAAGAAGAATGAATGCTAACATGTAGCAAAAAGACTAATTCGTCAAATATACAACAACCACATTCAAAATCATATGTCAAGGAGTGCTATTTGACAATCGCTACTATGTAAAAAAACATGGAGGTGTTTCGGGTTCTACACCTATGACAGTAATTATATGGATGATCCAGCCTTGTACAGGTCAAATGGTAAGACCTTGATAAACCTAAAAACTTACCAAACTAAAATTAATTTAGTGTGGAAAAAGGTGTATCAATTTATGTCTCAGTTACTCATTTGAGTGAGCACAAGACAATTCTGAAGCAAATTTTGAGGTATCTTAAAGGGATAATAGATCATGGTTTGGTTTCTACCCCTTCAGCTAAATGGAAACTATTACCATTCAACATTTAGACTAATTAGAATTTCTTACAGCAAACATTTCTTCAATTTCAATGAAATTATCAGTAGTCCAAAATCAAACACCTAAATAAACACAAAAATCGTTTTAATTTCCTAAACCCTAAACCCTAAAATCATAGAGTAAGTCAAAACTTTACTTTCACACTAAGTGTATGATTGGTTCCACTTTTATAGAAGCTAAAACTGATTCTAGAATTGATTTGGACACGTTAGATTGCTCTCAAATATAATTGATTTTCCTTAAATAAGTGATGCTAAGGTGAGGCTTTTGATTCTACAAAAATCACGATCCAGAAAACAATAAACAGGAGAGAAACTACGAAGGCAAGATTATTTATACCTCCGGCACAACGATGGCAGGAATCGGCGTCGCACCGGTGGAGGCGATGGATTGCGACGGGGATACAGTTCAGGCAGAGTGATAAGAGAACTCAGTTTCAAAACAATATTCCATTTTTAATTAAAGAGTGTATTTGTTCTACAGATTCATAAATGATTTTCAAAAATAAATTACTCATAAATAAAAAGATGAAGATTAATTCTCATATTTTTCGAAAAATATACTTCGGCATATAAAGTAGAAACTATAAAAAATTATGAAAGTTATTTAATTTCAAAGAGCATTGATTATTAGAAATATTTTTCTAATTAATATATTTGAAACAAACACCCGTAACTATTTTTTGAAAATAAAACGTCAGATTTAAATATATAATAAATTAAATAATTAAGAAAATAATTTTATTAATATAAATATATATAAGAACATAAATTTAATTGCAAATTTTAAGTGATGTTTTTCTTTTGGCAAAAAATTTAAAAAATTGAAGTCTTGTTAATTTTAACTGGCAAATTTTGTTTTAATCCCATAATAATAATATTGAGTCGGATATAATGAAAAATACTTTAACTTTTTGGAAAGTAAAAATCATCTTCTCACGCGTTTCTCTCTCATAATTACCCCAATAATTCATTATTTATAGACAATCAATTCTACACAGCAAATACCCATTCATGTTAAAATAAATTTGGCAATATTTTTCCACCTTGTTCTTGTGTGGCTCAGACATCTGAAATTCAAAAATGCTTTTAGAAATGTTTTATTTGACGCACATTTGATTTATCTCATCTTTTATAAATGAAGCAGACATTTCATTTTTATTAAAATTTAGTTCGAAAATACATCTTGAATAACTATAAGGGTGATTTCGAAGATGTATTTTTGAAAATCTAAAATCTCATTTAGTACACGTTTTTTTTATTGAAATTAACGTCATTGAATATATGCTTAAATGCACTTTTGGTCATCCTATTTTGAAGTTTTTTGAAATTTGATCCCCCATTTAAAAAACCATCTTTTTTGTCCTAAAATTTACCTCAATTGAGCATGGTCCCCTTCCACTGGACTGTCTCATTAATGACATGGCACATGAGCTGGTCTTCCACGTCATGAATTTTGAATATTTTAATATATAGTATTACTTTTATTATTAATTTTTTAAAAAATTAAATAAAGATTTTAAAAGTTTTTTTATTATGGTATTTATTAATGGCTGCTTATCTTCTTCATCTAGCCCAGAAACGTCATGCCCTAACCGTGTTGGTCATCTTTTCCACCCCTTGAATCCTCCATTTTCCCTTACTTCGTCTTCTCTGCCACCCTTGAATCCTCCATTTTCGTTTTCATAAAATGTCTGAGAAATCAATTTCAAAGAGCAGCTACAGAAATCATTCACTTAGGTACGAATGCTATTGTGGTATGGATGCTCCATTGATGAAAGGTTAGACTGATGCCAACCCAGGACGTCGTTGTTATGGTTGTAGAATGTATAAGGTGAGATTTTGTTTAGGACATATTTGAAGTTCTGCTCATTTTTGTTTACTTCACTCTATTACTTTATTCAATTGACTTTTACATATGCAAGGTTACAAGAAGTGTAGTCATTTTGTTTGGTTAGATGAAGAAATGAACCCAAGGTCAAAGGAAGTGATTATTCATTACTGCAGAGTTTGAATGATGAGAAGTAAAAGGTGAAAGATACCATCAAGAAAGATGAAGAATTGAAGATGAAGATGAAATTAATGAAGGAGCATTTGAAGCTCAATTAGATGATTATCATTATGATGTTAATTGCATTTGTTGTTTCAGCTGTGATGAAATAGGATATATCCAACATGTTTAGTTGTGTTTAAGTTGTAACAATGTTGGTTCAGTTGTGTTACATTTGTAACATTGTGTTTAAGTTGTGTTCCTTTTGTAACAATGTTGATTATGAAATAAAATTAACAATTCGTGTATCATTGTAACAATGTTGATTATGAAATGAAATTAATAGTTTGTGTATCATTGTAACAATGTTCCTTATTTGTATCATAATAGTGTTCATAACAATGTTCCATATTTGTATCATGAATCTTTGCTCTCTGCTTCAACCACTGCATATGCAACGTTAAAGATTTGGTTGTTACTATCCCTTTCTACTGCAAACATTAATTGTCCACCATACTCTCCCTTCAAAAAACAAGCATCCAACCCAATGAGTGGCCTACATGTCTTGGCAAAGCTTGCCTTGCAAGTCTCCAAGCATATATAAATTCTTTCAAGTACATGGTTCTCTTTGCTCTCAACACATTGTACATACATAGTGCTCCTAGAATTTGACTTTAACAACTCTTCAGAATAACTTCTTAAATGGTTAAATTGATTTATACCTGCTCCTTGAATCAAATCCATGGTCTTCCTCTTTTCCCTATATACTTGATCTTGTGAAATCTTCACTCCCCACGTCTCAAGGGATTCAGCCATGAGACCTGGTGGCTTCATATAAGAGTTATGCCTTAAGACATTTGCAAATTTTTTGGCAAGCCAAGTGGTCTTAGCATTCCTATTATGTGTAGTTCAATGACGTGTATGGTCATCAACATAAGTAACAATTTGTCAATATTGTTTCTCATTCCTTTTACTAATCCTTAGGTAGAACTTAGAACCAGCCATACACCTAATTATCATCCTCTCGGCATCATTCTTTTTTATGAACATATTTTCTGATTTCCATTCCATACTCTTTGATGGCATCTCTTTGTTTGTAAACATCATTCCTAATTGAAACCCACTTCCCTCACCACTCTTATAAGTTGGAAACTTGACTATATCTTCTTCATCCTCACTACCAGGAGGTGTGTATAAATTATCAGAATTCTCACAATCCTCTTGCTGCAAATCAACTGGCTCTTTGCTTCCACTTGCCTTGCCTAATGTTTCTGGAGATAGCACTTTAATCCAATTCATCTCATTAGAATCTTCACTGCCTGCAACAATTTCTTCATCACTATACTCACTAAAGTCACTTGCAACATAATCATCATCATTCAATTCACCTTGTTTATTAGCATCCCTGACTTCAACATTAGGCTCATTGTCATTATTCTCGTCCTCATTGACTTCTACATTATGCTCATCTTCATTGAATTCTACATTATGCTCATCCTCATTTACTTCTACATTATGCTAATCCTCATTGACTTCTACATTATGCTCACTAACATTATTCTCACTAACTTTATTCTCACGACTTATTAGCATTACCCTGACTAAAGCCAATAAATTCTACCTCATCCTCATTAATGGAATTTTCTAGTTCACTTGGATCCACAATCTCAGGTGGGTCAGATACCTTATGCTCCACATATATATCCATAACCTTATGTCCTACAACATCTTTGGCAAACTCCAACACAAACCCTCACTTTTAATTAAATTCTCCAAATCCATATAGTTTATGAAATCCACATCCCAACCCCAATTCATCTCAGTTACCTCTCCACTAACATACCATTTAACAGGTTCAGAAACTAGTTTTTCCCTATGATGTATTCTTAACCTAACCTTATTACTCTGATTTGACCTGAAAATTTATTGCATACATATAGAAATAACATCAGAATAATTGAACACTCATTAGGATACACGATGAAAGCGGCAAACATAACATGGTGAACCATAACAAAATATTAAACAAACATGGTGATTCACACGAAGAAAAGGACAAACATAACATGAAGATATACCGACACTCTCAAAAGAAACACGAAAACATATCTTAAACAGAATCTAACTTGTCCACTAGGTATCTTCACGAATCCAAACAAGAACGTCATAAACTTGAAATTAATTTGATTGAAATTAAAGGTGAAATTTGAGATTATTCATCTTCACGAATCTAAGTATGTTCTCCACGTTTAGGGTGAAATTTAGAAAATCTGATTAGTAAATGGTTAGCCTTGAGTTATTAATGAAAATTTCCCTTGATTTAAAATTATTTACATAATTTTAAAATTATTCAAAAAATGAAATATAATATCAAAATTAATAAATAATAAAAAATAGTGACATGAATCTCAAGTGAAGCAAACTTAGGAATCAAAAAGCTGATTTTTAAAATAGAGACTAGATTTTAAAAATCTACAAAATTGAAAAACCAAAAGTGCATTTAAGTCAAAATATAATATATCCAAAAAATTCATCTTCAAAAATATAATAGAGATAAACCATTCGTCTGCATTCAATTTTTTAATAAATAGATGCATCCAAAAATGCAGTTCCGATTTCTAAGAATAATTTTATATCCAAAATTTTAGCTAAAATTGAAACAAAAGACATAGAGAAAGTGATATAAAACAAGTGGAAATGGACACAAGTATTAAAACACAAATTATCGCCCCAAGTTCACAATGGGTTCACAACACAATGGGAGGATATGAAAGCACCCTCATTAAATTCAAACTATTACATCCTAGGAAACAAAATACATACATTTGGATACAATCAATTTCCAAATGGAGGTTCACTAAAATTCCAATCTCTAAACTAGGAGCTACACTATCAAATGCCTAAAATTATCAACAAATTCCCAAAAGGTTTTCAAATATCCATAGAAACAGAAAATAATAATGCTAAAGAAATTCAATCACCCTTCCTAAGTACCTCTCCTTGGTTATATAGATCTAATTCCAATTGTTAATACAATTCAACTTCTGACATCATCTCTAAAGTTGATGAGGTCAAGACACAAACCAAACCTCTGGTCTAGTGTTATGTGGTAAGAAATTTCCATAGCTTCTTCCCTACTGATGTTTCACCAGGCTGTTGATAATCTTCATCAATCTCGTTCTCCTCGTCATCGTCAACTCCACGGGATTCACTCCTGTACTCTGCATCGTGATCCTCCGCGTCATCCGCTGTTCCGTTCACCTCCTCACTCAAAGCCATGTTGCTTGCAAAAGTCCTCGTGGTATTGTCGTAATCATCATCGTGCGTCTCCACTACTTTCTGAGACTGTAAGAAGTAAGCACTTAGCTTGATATCCAAAACTCATTAAAATCATAATCTTAATATCAAACACAAACTCTTAAACTGAAAACTAATTTGAAATATGAAATAAAACAAAGAATATATATCAAGCTTACCTGATCAAGATCTATGCTGCCACCAATTTCGTTGGTAATGCCAACCGAGTGTGAATGAGAAGCTTCTGCTGCAGCTTTTGCACGACCAACCTCTCCCTCACTTTCCTTGCCGCCACCAGACACGCCTCTAACAGATGAAGTTGTCGCTCCACTAAAAAAATCAATGCACGTCATGTGCAAGTGAGAAAAACATTGACAATCATCACATCATCACATCACATGCAAATAATAAAATGAAAATTATGGGCATACTCACGTTTTGGGTCGCCTCAAATTATATCTTGTTTCTCCAGCAGTTTGTACAGGAGGAGGAGCAGCCTTCTGTCGAGTCCTTCTGCGCTGTCCTGGTATATCAGAATGTCCTTCACTCGCACTAGCAGTAACTTGAGATGTTGTTTGAACCCGGTTTCGCTTCCGCAAATTTGCCGTTCTTTTTTCGGCTGGTTTTTGACTTTCAGAATCCATGTTGGCAGAATCCTCGGCATTTCCATTTGGAAACCCAGTCTCACGATCATCCACAGATTCCCCGGGTACTGCCTCATCAGCTTTCGATTCCCCGAGAAAAGCTTCAGCCTCTTTGATAACAGCTTTTACGGTTTGTGTGCGCTTTACTACTCTGGCCCTTCCCCTTCCCCTGCGAGGTTTCTGCTGCTCAACCTTTGAATCGGTCGGCTCTAAATCATCTGGTGCTTTTGTGTCATTGTTGTCTGGTGCTTCAGTTTCATTGTTGCCCTGGTTGTCTATAGAAGGATCATGGTCAGCTTCAACCTCTGTGATATCATGGCCAGATTGTAACCTTGGAGCATCAAAAGAATCATTTGCAATTGCAAAAGACAACTCTGCTTCATTTTCAGCGCCAGGAATTTTCGCTAGTGAATCTTCATTAGTTGCATCAACAGGCAAGGCATCCACATCCCTTAAACTACCAACATCAGAGTCAATCTTTTTGATTGGGGAGATCTTGAAAATCTTAGAAGTGCATTTACGTAGCCAAGAGACAGTTCCACCAGGAACAGGGGACTCTCTAACAGCTGAAGGGGATACTCCAGTATCCAGATTTACATTAGAACCAGCCAATTTTGGAAGAGAAGGCACCTCTAAATTTTCAATGTCAGCAGAAGAATGTAAATTAGACAACACAAATTCAGAAATTGTTTCCCCGCAGTTTTGGCAACTCTGAAGTTTCTCAACAACATCAATAAAGCGGCGTCTCTCCACAATAAATTGTTCCCGCTGATTTTTCAGCTTCTTGTTGAGGTCGACGAGTACATCTATGTCCTCCTGCATTTCTATCCTTTGCCTTTCAACATGTTTCCGATTCTCATCTGCATCCTGTTTCTCCTTATCTAATTTACTTCTTTGATGTTTCATTTCCTCCATTTCTCTATTAGCCACTTCTCTCAAGAAATTGATATTGCTTAATTCACTTTCTCTCGTCTCCTCGAATAACTTCTTTGTTTCAAGCAAGTCTTTTTCCTTCTGCTCTAACTGATTCTGCATATCAGCTTCAAGTTCTTTTTTTCTCATCTCAAAATCCAGAAGCATTTGGTTTTTCTCATTTTGAGCTTTTTCAGCTAGGCTTGACTTTTCCAACTCCATTTCAGCAGCAAATGACTCTTTAGCCAACTTAAGATCTTCCAACTCCCTTTGTAGATAGTCTTGTGTGGCCTGCTTCTCATTCTTTAACTTCTCTTCTTCATTTTGCTGTAGTTTTAGAATTTCTTCCTTCTGTTGAAGCAAAATTTTCAGCTCTTTTTCCACATCTGCTCTTTTCAGATCAAGCTCATCCCATTCTCTTTCGAAAGTCTCTTTTTGCTGCCTCAAGTCATCAGCTTCCTTCATCAGCAGTTCTTTCTGAAGCCTATACTGATCAATTTCATGCTTCAGTTGCGACTGCAAACGTATATATTCCGACCTCTCCTCCTCGGTCACTTGAAGACGACTAGTCTCTTCTTTAAGTTTCAACAATTCTTCTTCATTGTTTGCCTTTAATTTCTCAATTTCAGCCTTGAGACTGAGTAACTCTTCTCTCTCACTTGCTATTTCACCCCTCTCCTTCCCTAAGTCTTTTTCCTCAGACTTAATAGACTTCTCCCGTTCCTTCAAAGCTTTGATTTTTACTTCATATTCTTTCTCTTTCTCCTTGAGCTTCTCTGCTCTCTTTTCCAAGGCTTGCTCCCGTTTTGTTACCTTCTCCTCCATGTGATTAACTTCACCTTCTTTCTTTTCCACTTCTATCAATCTATTCTTTAATCCATCTTCAAATGACTTTCTTTTTTCATCCAATTCAACCTCAAACTCCTGCTTCTTCACATCGAGAATGGCATTATGTTCATCAACAAGCTTCTGAATCTCAAC